GTTTTCTACTTGTGCAATGGGATAACATGGCATCTTATGTTTTTCTAGTGTATACTGAGAGGCATCTCAAAATGAGAGTTGGAAAGGTACACTTTCATTTTGATTAAACTATGAATTTCTGACCATACAGCTAGAGAACTAGATGAATTAGCCTGAAGTTTGCATTCTGTGTGTATTTGTATCAGTCTTTCTCACCCACACAAGCTTTTATTTATGAAAAACTGTTTCACATACCTCTTATTTAACAAAATTGTTCTGTGTCAATCCTAAGGGACTTTAAACAATGAACAGAAATCAGAGGGGCCCTTGTGCTCTCACAGCTTGGTTTAGAGAGCTCCAAGGACCCCTCATTTCAACCCTGAGCTACAAATATTCTCCTTTATCAATATGTATTTTTAGAAAATAATCAACACCACTAAATTGTCTATTCTTAAAATATCCAGTTGTAGGTTGTAATGGTGCCTGCAATCAGTTTTCACTTGCTTACAAATCAAGTAGGGGCCACCTTGTAGGAAGTAGAGTCTTCCAGTGGGATAATATTTGATAAACTGGAGCCACCCCGACAGGAAAGTCCTGTTTATTACACCTGTCAGCTGCATGAAATAGATTAGATCAGGTAACAAGTTCCACAGGAGGAGGAGGAGGAGAATATGTTATTGAAGCAAGCTCAATACAAAATCTTGAAAATCTGCCAGTCTCTCCCTTTTTCCTCTTTTATCCCAGGAAATTGGGAGGAACCAATCTAAGTCTCTTTTTAATATTTTCTCTCCTCTCCTTTGCACCTGTTTTGTTGCCTTGGTGTCTTTCAGATGGGTTCTCCAAGATACTGTAATTTCCATGGCTCCCTAAAAAAAAAAACCTGTATCTTACGACTGGGGTGAATCTCAATAGACCTCTAAATGACTGGGCTGGATGGATAGATTCAGTTTTGGCAGGACAATGCTTGATATATACCAGTGCTACAGGGGTGTCAAACTCAATTTCACTGAGGGCCATATCAGGGTTGTGTTTGACCTTGGGAGGATGGGGGTGACCAGGGTGGGTGTGACCAGCTTGACATCAACTGTGTTGAGTGTGCCTGTGGTGGGCCGAGCACTCTGCCAATGAAAACAGGCTCAGTTGTGATGGCCTCCTGCAGCTCTCTGCCAGCAAAAATGGAGCTTGGATGGGCTGCATGGGCCCCCACAGGCCCTGTTTTTGGCTGCAATGGCCTCTTGCAGCCCTCTGGCAGCTAAAACAGAGCTCTGCTTGGCAAAGGGCTGCAGAAAGCCGTTGTGGCTGAAAACGGGGCCTGGGGAGGGATGCACATGGCCATCCTGAGTTCTGTTTTCACTAGCAGAGGCATCGTGGGATGGTCCTTTGCTGTTTTCAGAGTGGCCCCCCCAGGCCAGATCTAAGGTCTGGATCTGGCCCCCGGGCCTTGAGTTTGACATGCCTGGGGTAAGGCCATAAAGGAACAGAAAATTAGTGACTTTAAAAGATCTTTATTCCACCTAATTTTATTCTTCCTACTGGTGGGTCTGGGTTACCATATCAGGGTTACAGAAATACAAGTAACTATTAGTTCCATATCTCTTTGCCACTTTCTGTGGTCATCTCAGTATTTTGTGACTCAGATATGGGAGATATATGGAACGTTGGACTTTCTTTCCCATCCTAGCAAAAGCCGTATCTGGCAAGCTCTTAAATGTTAAGTGTCAAAGATAAGGTATCAAACTGCACATGTGTAAAACTTTTGTGGTATCTGTAACCATAAGTCGCCCAAGGTACCTAGCTAGTTGTTATGATTTCAGACCTTCACTTAATTTTGATTTAAACCCCTTTGTTTTACTGTGGGCTGCTGCTGATGAGGACCAGCAACACCTCAGGAAATTATTCACAGTATTGCCACATGTCAGAATGATGTTTTGTTGCAAGGAAGATTGATAGCGGTTGGTCAGAAGGGCCAACTTTTGGTAGAAGAGTCTCCAAAGGAAAGAAACTCTGCTTTTCTCTCTTGCCAAGCATTCAATTATTCCAGGATGCACCTGGGTATTTCTTATTCCTTATTCCTTGGCTCATAGTATCATGGGTGTGGTGACTACACATTAATCTAATAAATAAAGTTAAACGAACGATAGTTCTTATCCCTTTTGCCTTGTTATAAAGTACATGAAACTATTTACTGTTTGTTTAGTTATAATTTGCATTGGCAACTGTAAATATTACGTAATGCAAAAACCAAATGAAATGTGCTTGATACATGTTTATCCAACAATAGGGGTGGGGAATTTATGGCTCTCCAGATGTTCTTGGATCAAAGTTCTCTGCAGCCTACCATTGATGAGTGCTGAAAGTGATAGTTCAGCATTATCTAAAGCAGGGGTCTTCAACCTAGGCAACTTTAAGCCTGGAGGACTTCAACTCCCAGAAGTTGCTTTCCTGGCTGGGGAATTCTAGGAGTTGAAGTCTGCCAGGCTTAAAGTTGTCAAGGTTGGAAACTGCTGATCTACAGGACCATAGTTTCCCCATGCTTGTATGATGTTTCTCATCTATTAATTTTATAACTCATTAATATGAAATTTTGTATTATACTTTGATTTTTTTTAAAAAAAATCATATAGCCATTTGATTTCCACTGATTCATTGAATTACTGAATCTATAAAACTACAAATATATAAAGTTTGAATAGAGAGCCAGTTTGGTACAGTGGTTAAGGCGCCAGGTTAGACTGTGATTTCTAGTCCAACCTTAGGCATGAAGCCAACTCGATGATCTCAAGCCAGTCATTTTTTCTTAGCCCTAGGAAACAGACAATGGCAAATCATTTCAGAAATCTTGCTAATAAACTGCAGGGACATGCTGTTGCCAGGAGTCAACACTGATTCAAAAGCATGCACAAAAAAGTTTGAATATGAACGGTACTAAAAATGGTGTTGTTACCATTTCACTTAAAATGGTGTTATGGCGTTATTACCATTTTACTTAATTATATTACTCCACAAATCTTTGTATAATTGTAGTAGTATAGAAATACAATAAACTTTGGTTGTTGTTATGAGTAAGCTGCTAAGTAGTGCTGGTCTTAACAAATCAAATTCTTCAGGCCTTCCCAAAAATTACCTTCAGGACTTCAGTTTCCCAGTAGAATCTGCCCAACCACATTGATTTTCCTGGGAAAGCTCCTATTTTGAGGATGTGAGGCGAGTGGAAGCCAGAGGAACTGCTTTGGGATATTTATAATTTGTCATATGTTTATAATTTCAAACTAATCACAAATATTTTCATAACTTCTATGTATCCCATGAACCACATGTACTTTCTATATTAGGACTGCTACAAACATAATAATAAATAAAAATAAAAATATAAATAAAATGTTGTATTCCTCCCTTTCTTCAAGAAATATGGCTAACATACATAATTGGAAACAGATATGGCATCAGTTTAGAGATCTGCTGGGTTCCCCCCCCCCACCAAATTGTTCATTTTTATTTCACAACATTACCAACTTTATTTGCTCCAATACACTTAAGTCTTATTGGTGGGGGAAAAAATCAGTGCTGTAAAAATTCCAATTTTCCTGAATTATTTAAATCATTTTCAATAAGAACTAAAGCACTGAATTTTATAGACATTAATTACAAAAGAAGGAACACTTTTTTACTCCATGTTCCATTTTCTTCTATCTGCTATCCCTGCCTCTTCCTTTGATTGTTTTTTACCTGTGTGTGTGTGTGTGTGTGTGTGTGTGTAGTGTAAAAGCATCAAAATCACCATTTTCTTTTCTTTTTGTTATTTGTGAAATAATGATGGGTGCCAACTTTTCTATTTACAGACAGATATTACATTTCTGCCTGATATTTCTCCTGTCTTTTGACACAAAATAATGGTGAGTTTTCCAAGATTGATTCTTGGCAAACCCAAAAACTAAAGTTAATATAGAAGCCTTGTCCAAAAGGGGGGGAAAAGTGACTGTGGGAGAGAAAATACATATATACTACTACTGGACAGATTTAAACACAGCCCAATAATATTTATTGCTTTAAATGTAGTTCTCCCCTTCCCTCAACATTGTTCAACTATTTACAAAGTGTACACTACTATTACTATTAATCTTCTCATCACTCCTTATCATCCATCTCCTCCCACTTGTGACTGTAGGATTTTAACTATTTCTTGTATCCTTACGATTTATATTGACTGTTTCCTGGTATGATTTGATTGTTGATTGTACTCTATGATTATCATTAGGTGTTGTACCTTATGATTCTTGATTCTTAACGAATGTACCTTTTCTTTATGTATATTGAGGATTTACACCAAGACAAATTCCTTGTGTGTCCAATCACACTTGGCCAATAAAGTATTCTATTCTATTCTATTCTATTCTGTTCTATTCTTCTCACTTCATCTGATGAACAACCGTCAGCTGGGCATTTCAATAAATTAAAATTAATGTAATTAACAGGAAACTCCCTAGGCAAATAATTTGCTTCCCACCCCCCTCTGAGGCTGAATTCCAGGGGTGATTCGACGGCAGGAGAGAAAACATTGTTTGAACTTTAGCTGAGTCACAGGCTGGAAATGAAACTAAGATTGCCGTTCTCACGCCTTCACAATCAACAGGGCTGAACCTCGTGAAAAATCAGGGCGGAAAAGTTAAATGGCAATGCAAAGCGCAGCACCTCAGCCCCAAATCTGCCCGCTCGGACTGCTGTTAAAGGCCAAGGCGAGGGCTCGGCGGCGCCACCGGTGACTCCGTCAAAGGCGCGAGATTCGCCGGCGGCCCCAATGCCTTTAACAGGGCTGCTGTCAGCCCTGCTGACTTTAAGGTCCCAGGAGCGCTTAAGGAGCCTCTCCCTCTCCCCGCGCTCTTCCCACGAGAGTGGCCTACAGTGCCGGGCCGGAAACTTTTAACCGTTGCTCTTTCATACCTGTCTGAAGACGGACAGGTGGATCCTCGGAACTTTTCTGAGGTAGAAGACTAAGTAACCAGGAAGTAACTGCCACCCTGCCTGAGAAGAGTGAGCCTGTTGCCCGCCGCCTACCATAGCCATCTCCCTGATTGCTGTAGGGAGCAAATTTCAGACCCGGTCTTCGGAAGGAAGAACTTTTTCCTCGCTAGCAAAACGAGACGCTCGGGGAGCCCGGAGGATCCATCGCCTCCTTCCTCGTGGTGAGTGTTGCCATTTCCTCCGCCACCTGCAGCTTTCGGGGAGATGAATGAACGCCCTGCATTAACAGCCCTGGCCTCTCCGAAGTCAGCTTTCCCTAACGGGGTGCCCTCTAGGTATCTTGGTAAGCTTCCGAACCCGCTGAGGGTTGTAAGGTTACTAACTTGGGGAAGTGCTGCGTTGGAGAAAGCTCCGTCATGGTCTAGCAGCTGTCCAAGCTAAGAGTTGTAAGGAATCAAAAAGTGCTAGCTTGGGGAAGACCATCCATCCCACAAGATCTGCCTGGATGAGGATGATCTCCAGTGAGCTCAGGAGGCATTGTTGCTTGAAGCAAAAACAGTAAACCGTTTCTCACTTCCACTTGTGGATTTGACCATTTAAGCAATTTTCAACACTGGCAAAATGTTAAGAGTCCTCACTGGAAACAAAAGTTAAGGAGGTAGTTTGAAAAATATTTCAAAAATATTCTAGTTCTGCCCTCGAAGAGGCAGTAATTGCTGAAATAACCGTGGGGCTTTTTAAACTACTCTGTTTAAATTAACTTATTTCGAGTCTACAGAAAACCAAAGTACAGTAGAACAAATTTTGTTATCCTTGTTGACATCTGTCCTACCTCTTTTTCTACCTGTGACTTGATTTGTCTCCAAGGGAATCAGTGGTAAAACTCAACCAACTTAGTGTACTTTGAGATGACCCTTAAGCATTACTTGGAATAAAGAGAAAAACACTACAACAAAGAATGACTTAAGCCTCATGGTTTAAGGAGGAGATGAAGATGTGGGACAAGCAGGAAATAAGTATTTGTTTTAAACTAACCTGCTTTGCCCTCCCTTCTCCTGTTTGTTGTTTTATTTACAATAGGTGTGTTATAGCAACTATAACATGCCTCCACTCCCATCCCTGAGTTGCCCAGTTTCTGGTGAATTATAAGTCAGAGGCATTCTTGATATTTGGCAATAAATCCACTGCTCAAAAAACTCAAAAAAGGGAACACAAAAATAAGACATCCTAGATCTGAATGAATGAAATATTCTTATTAAATACATTGTTCATTACATAGCTGAATGTGCTGACAGCAAAATCACACAAAAATTATCAATGGAAATCAAATTTAGCAACCAGTGGAGGTCTGGATTTGGAGTTACACTCAAAATTAAAGTGGTAAAAAACACAACAGGTTGATCCAACTTTGATGTAATGTCCTTAAAACAAATCAAAATGAGGCTCAGTAGTGTGTGTGGTCTCCATGTGCCTGTATGACCGCCTTATAACGCCTGGGCATGCTCCTGATGAGGTGGCGGATGGTCTCCTGAGGGATCTCCTCCCACATCTGGACTAAAGCATCCCCCAACTCCTGGACAGTCTGTGGTGTAACATGGCGTTGGTAGATGGTGTGAGACATGATGTCCCAGATGTGCTCAATTGGATTCGGGACTGGGTAACGGGCAGGCCAGTCCATAGCATCAATGCCTTCGTCTTGCAGGAACTGCTGACACACTCCAGCCACATGAGGTCTAGCATTGTCTTGCATTAGGAGGAACTCAGGGCCAACCGCACCAACATGTGGTCTCACAAGGGGTCTGAGGATCTCATCTCGGGACCTAATGGCAGTCAGGCTACCTCTGGCTAGCACATGGAGGGGTGTGCGGCCCCCTAAAGAAATGCCACCCCACACCACTACTGACCCACTGCCAAACCGGTCATGCTGGAGGATGTTGCAGGCAGCAGAACATTCACCTGTCACGTCTGTCACATGTGCTCAGTGTGAACCTGCTTTCATCTGTGAAAGGCACAGGGCGCCAGTGGCGAATTTGCCAATCTTGGTCTTCTCTGGCAAATGCCCAACATCCTGCACGGTGTTGGGCTGTAAGCACAACCCCCACCTGTGGACGTCGGGCCCTCATACCACCCTCATGGAGTCTGTTTCTGACCATTTGAGCAGCCACATGCACATTTGTGGCCCGCTGGAGGTCATTTTGCAGGGCTCTGGCAGTGCTCCTCCTGTCCCTCCTTGCACAAAGGTGGAGGAAGCAGTCCTGGTGCTGGGTTGTTGCCCTCCTTCGGCCTCCTCCACGTCTCCTGATGTACTGGCCTGTCTCCTGGTAGCGCCTCCATGCTCTGGACACTACGCTGATAGACCCAGCAAACCTTCTTGCCACAGTTCGCATTGATGTGCCATCCTGGATGAGCTGCCCTACCTGAACCACTTGTTTGAGTTGTAGACTCCGTCTCATGCTACCACTAGAGTGAAAGCACCGCCAGCATTCAAAAGTGACCAAACCATCAGCCAGAAAGCATAGGAACTGAAAAGTGGTCTGTGGTCACCACCTGCAGAACCATTCCTTTATTGGGGATGTCTTGTTAACTGCCTCTGCTTTCCACCTGTTGTCTATTCCATTTGCGCAACAGCATGTGAAATTGATTGTCAATCAGTGTTGCTACCTAAGTGGACAATTTGATTTCACAGAAGTGTGATTGACTTGGAGTTACATTGTGTTGTTTAAGTGTTCCCTTTTTTTTAGCAGTGTATATTTTATCTTTTATTTTATTGTTGCATCAGATGAGTCCACAAAGTCCAACATTCTGTTTCTTGCAGGTATCAATTGTGGGTAGAGGTAGGTGATAGCCTTCCACAAATATACTTAATAGATATTAGAAAATGTGCTGCCAGGGTGTGAAAATATGGCATAATAGGTTCATGAGATACGCTGTTCACAACCCAGCCAACTAATCAGATTTTAGCTAGTGTTTGTATGAACCTGGCCTGTGTGGTTGGTTTACATTTCAGATTGTGCATACTTGGAGTAATCATGGTTTAATTTTTTATGCATTAATAATTTATTGAGAGCAAAACATTAACTATCTTGGCCAATTGCTATTAGTCAACTGGTAGTGTTTTTCCACCAATTTTCCAATCTGCCAGCGTATGATACCAAGTTGTAGTAAGTTAAACTTTTATTTTTTAAAAATCTAGCTAATATGTTTTGGAAGAGGAGCGATTTTTCATGCCTTAGAAAAATCACAATATGGAAGGGTCATAAAATATACTTTCCTCTTCACTTTACAGATGGGTTTCTTTGTCCCATGATTTTCTTAGCCAAAAGCTTGTGGAGAATGTGTCTGGATCTTAGAAAACTGTCACAACTGATGAAAGCTCCATGGGTTGAGCTAATAAAGAAGTGTAAATGTACTGCACTGATTTACAAATCCCAAAATTACTTGCTGGTGTAGAGCAATGGATAACAGCCTGGGTTTCTTACTTTCCTGCAGGTTTAATCTAAATTAAGTTAACTATTCTGTAACTCAACTTTTCTTATCCCAGATACATAGGGGCCAGATATTCCCAGAATTCCCATGCCGCCTAGGGAATCTTTGAAGAGTTCCTTCAAACAGCTACTTCATGTGCTTTCCTCCAATTGTTAGGTTGGGAGTAAGAGGTGTTGATATACAGGCCCCATAGCCTGTATTTACTGTGATTTAGGAATAGGAATAGGTTCTGCTATTGTCCAAACTAGGTTAGCATGGAACACAGCAGTGAGTGTAGTGAGTGGCTTTCTTGGCTGCATTTCCACCCCTGGCTCAGGTCATCAAACCAATTGAGGAAGTTGTGAGCAATACATATAGCAGCACTGGCACCAGGGTGGGCTACTACTGATTCACACCAGTTCAGGTGAATTGGATGTTAATTTTACATCTGGTTCGGTGAACTGGTAGTTGCAATGTCTGGCTGGCCCTCCCCACCCCGTCCCTCCCAGGAGTCTCCATGGCGCCCATTTTGGATCCCAGGTAAGTGTAGCGCCCACATGGAGGCTGGGAGAGGGTGAAAATGGGCCTCCCGGAGGCTGGAGGAAAGCCTCCAGAGCCCGGGGAGGGCGAAAACATCCCCCACCATGGTGCAGGACGGGGACTAGGCCACGCCCACCTAGCAACCAGACAGAGAACTGATTGCTAAAATTTTGGAAGCCCATCCGTGAATGGCATTCTGCTAAACTAATGTTTTAGCCATAAGATTATTGAACTCCTTCAAGATTGACAGTGATGTGGGAAACTAGAGAAGTCCCGTGCAATTCTGGAAAAGGAAAGTCAGTTGAAAAAACTTAGTCCCATCTTGGGGATGGGTTAGGAAAGGCTGACATTTCTTACACTATTGTTCAACTGTTGGCTCATCTGTTCTTCCAGAAATTAAGAGGATTGTATCATTCCTACCTAAGGAGTGGAATACTGAGACGATAACTTCTCCATTTCTGTTTTAAGAGTTATCTAAACTATTGGAGTATTTTTCTGAATATCCATTCTGCAATTCTTTTAAAATTCACCAATTCATCTAGGGGTCACTGTATATCCTAGAATAGATGGCCTTGCTCATGTGCTTTCATGTCTGCCTTACATGTTTTCGATATGTAGGAAGGGAGGGATATTTTCCTTGAAAATATTAATGTAACATTGCTATTTAAATATATTAGAATAGAGCCAATTTTTAAAAAGAGCCAATTTTACATTGCCTTGTAGACTCATGTAAGTTAACAATAATCTAGAAAGTTTAATGTTAAAATATTTAACCCAGAACCTAAAAAGCTAGCACTTTGGCTCAGCCTTCGTTTGAGTTTTAGGGTGATATAAAATTATATCAAGTTCTTTCATGGGGAAATATCAAAAGCAGACCCTAGACAGTCTCCTCAATAAAGAGGCCTTGAAAGCATAAGCCAAGCTGGTCATCATTGTTTCCTGCTTCTTCTGTCTCTTCTAGCATCCCTCCATGAGCTTCTGTAAGGTAGATTTCACTGGTTAGTTGGTTTATCTATCTGCATACCTGGGGAATTTCATAAGAGTCTTCAGGTCCCTCCCTTTCTGTATTCATGGTTCCATTTGGGTGTTCAGTTGGGAGGTAGAAAGAAAGATGAATGTATGAATGATGGGGATTCCCCTCCCCCCCCCAATGTTGGAGTTCTAACTTAATTGGGTTTCTATTAAGACCGTGTGCACGTTTCAGGGACTTTTTAGC